ACACACACACACACACACACACACACACACACACACACACACACACACACACACACACACACACACACACACACACACACACACACACACACACACACACACACACACACACACACACACACACACACACACACACACACACACACACACACACACACACACACACACACACACACACACACACACACACACACACACACACACACACACACACACACACACACACACACACACACACACACACACACACACACACACACACACACACACACACACACACACACACACACACACACACACACACACACACACACACACACACACACACACACACACACACACACACACACACACACACACACACACACACACACACACACACACACACACACACACACACACACACACACACACACACACACACACACACACACACACACACACACACACACACACACACACACACACACACACACACACACACACACACACACACACACACACACACACACACACACACACACACACACACACACACACACACACACACACACACACACACACACACACACACACACACACACACACACACACACACACACACACACACACACACACGAAAATAGTCAAAACGGATTCAGGGGACCTCAAAACGTAAAAATCCGTCGAAAACTCGAGGTCGAAAAAAATCATGATTCCTATACTTTCCTTATATCTGTATACAGATAGGAAAGTAAAAACTTTATAAATTGCATCAACAATATTATGACCGTCACGGCCAGCAATCCCTTCGTGCCACATTGAGCAATAATTTTTAGTAGTTGGATTCTGCTTTAATGAACAAAATGTTAAATTAAAAGCCACAAGGCGACTTACAAATAGGGCATCTTTTACTCCTGGCATAATGGGAAATAGAATAACTTTATGGAGGTCCATTGAATAAATTCTTAAATTTTCATTTTCTGGCACTAACGAGTCAGCTTTGTATTTGGCGGTTTATTTTGAGGCCTTAACTTTGTGTTCATCCCATTTGTCTTCAGTGTCAAACATGGATATAGTCCCGTTAGGGTCTCCTCCCGCAATTGATATTTTGTAGGTCTCACAGTCAACACACACATCAGACTTAGGCATGCGCAAAGACAAATGCATAGATTTCAGTGTTGTTCTATAGGTTTCGAATTTACAAAATCCTGGGTGATTTGCAATAAAAACGCTGTACATTGCTTTAACAGGCAAGTATCGCATATTAGGAGCATTGTGACGTCTGTAATGGCTAACAGAAGGTTTGTAACTATTAATATGATTAATAAGTACAGTGCGATCTAGTGCTCTTTTAGGATTGAAAATTCCTCTATTTTCTTCTGTATTATTTAGAAGAGGTTCTCTTTTGATAGCCGCACACAATTCCGTTATTACAGAGTCATTGCTATGTCCCAAAGTGTTTAAGAAAAATCTTCTACAGACACAGACACTTTGATTATTTTTGGGTAAGAAAAACTTTCGGCTATCGGCTTTTAAAAAGTGTTCAGCTGGATCTTTGTTACGGTCCTTCGTTGAATTTGTACTATTTGGACATTCTTTGCAAGTCATTTTCGTCGGTCACAATATTTAAGTGACCAATAATTTTCCCAAATGTATACTCTGTCTGCATCTATGAACAAGGACGAACACTTTTTCTTACACGACTCAGAACAGCTCGGTCTCATAACATATTTAAGTTTATCGTGTTTCACTTTCTCTGCATGACTTAGACGATTACTTTTTTTTATTTTTGGTCCTTCTTTTTATAACAGGTTCTTGAGTAGTTGTTGCCTGAGTATGTAAATTTATTGCTTCGGTACCTACTTGATTTGCCTCAGCATGAAATTCAGGTGCAGCATATTGTGACTCCTCCGTCTGCCCTTCTTCTAAGAGATCTGAGTTAAAGCTTTTGAATGATTCGTCGATAGAGATGGGAGTTTGGTCTACCTCAATAACAAAATCTGGATCCGCAACACTGTCATCGCTAAAGGTTGTAATTATTGTTTCACCATCTTCGGCAGAATGGATAGGATCAATTTCGTATTGTATTTCCCTAAAAAAATAAAACATATTAATTCATGCCTACTACAAACAATGGTAAAATCCGTGGGGAAAATATTGTCTGGTAAGGGGTTTAATAGTTTGACACTTGCCAGAAAAAGGTTGCTTGTGAAGCTTAATTTTAAACCCTCCCCAAAAATTCTGCGAATTTATTAACGTAGGGAGGTACTATAAATAGAAAAATAATAAGAAATATCGTTCTAAAAAAAGAGAGGGTTCCTATAATTTGGGACACCCTGTACAAAAATATATATGGTTTGTTATGTACAAACTTAACAGGGTTCTGTATACGAAAAGTGAGACACTGTATAATAAATTCAAATAATTAAAAGTTTACTAAGTAAAATACTTAGGTACTTGTTATTAAAGTCCACTATTTAGTACTTTATATTCAAACAACTAACACTAGGTAGGTATACACTTACATATTATCTGCAGCACACATAGCAACCATTCTTTTACAAGAGATACCATATTTTCAAAAATGTTTAAACTTTTTAGTAAATAAAACAAATGCACTTTACTCTGAGCTTATTCACCACCGCATCAGAAATTGCAGGTTATGTAAAACAACAAACAATCGCGGTTTCTTGTAACGGTTTTTAACGTCATCGCGTGTTAAAAAAATCGTACCAAAACGCAGTATCTGGTATATGCTGTGTTTTGGGCCAGCAATTGGAAGATACTGTGTTTTGAGATGGTAAACCGGTGTGAAGGGCTGTAGATACTGGGTTCGGTACATTTAATACAGTGGTGAATATAAATAGTGAACGATTTAAAGACATTCGGAGTATATATAAATTAGAATAGTAGTGTTGTAAAATAAATAAGTGTTTAAATAAATTATTAATAAATAAACTGTTGTTTTAAAATAAACAAACATCACAATATCTTAATACCCAGAGCTTTAAATGGTTTCAAACCCTTGCCAAAAGATGCATATTAACACAGTAACTCCATTTATGCTATAATCTTGTTTTTTAAAAAAAATGTTGGATACTGTGTTTTGAAATGGGGCAGCCGATATGAACCCGTTAAAAACAAAACATTATGCTGAATAAATATATGAAGATGTATAATTTAACCGAGGTGTCATAACGATGATTTAAAAATCAAATTCGATTGCTCTAATTGTTTAACCATTAAATGCAAAATAACCATATAAAAATATTAAATTACATATTTCGAAAACTAAAAATTCTATCGAATGCTTTTCTAATATTAAAAAATAATGTTATCATTTCTAATACATCTACAGCATTTAATATTTTTGTTTGAAATATTTGATGCAATATGTATCTTCTTTATCTTCTTTAATATCAAGAATTGAACAAAGGTAAATTGTGTTATATCGCAATATTTATATATTAAAGAATTCAAAGTTGCTTTGTATCTCATTATTAACGAACCAGCCTGTACATACAGAATAAGCAACTGAAAACCATCCACACCAATATTAGGCAGTATTTATTCGAGTTTAATAAAATGCTGAAACAGGTTGTATTTTAATATTTGTCGAGAAATTTGGTGGAAACTTCGAGAGCCGTCAATTTTTAATATAAATGGACTCTGCTGATATTGCAGAAACAATAATTGACATAGCTGTGAGCAGATCGATATAGTAAATGTCTACATAAATTATAATTAAGGTAAATTAGCATGAGTATTTAAGTATGAATAAATAATTAATTAATAATTAAATAATTTAATTATTAAACTGTTTAAAATAAATAAACGTATTTACCAGAAACACGTAAGATATCATGATACTTTGTATAGACGTGATATTTGGAGGAATTTGAAGACGTTTCCCATAACCTTAAAGAAAAAAAAAATAAAATGCCGAGCCCAAAATTGGGATCACCCGGAAATTTGTATTTATTTCAGAAATTCTTAACCTCCTCGGATATTATTCGCTCATAACATAATTTCCTAACTTTATGCGATAAATTTAATTTTTTGTTTCCATGGTAATATATCTATTGCAAATTGTTTGATAGGTTAGTGTTGTCATTGTGTCTTTAAATGGCCATAAAACCCCTTGTGGCAAAAATTGTGGCAGCTATAAAATATGGCCGCGGTCAGCGCGAAACTGCGAGAAACATTAGTGCAAGTCTCTTCAGTATCCAACCAGTATTCCAGCGATACAAAGAAACTGGTTTTCTTACTCGAAAACCTAGTTCAAGACGAAGAAAGAATACAACAGCTACAGACGCCTGCTTTCTCGTTTCTAGTGCTTTTGGAAATCGAATAGTCACGGCAGTTTCTATTTGAAATTATCCGAAAGAAGTGAGAAATGTAAACATAAGTGAGTGGACAGTTAGAAGGCGCCTTCATGTTGTTGGATTATCTTTTCGAACTACCAACATTATATAGTGAACACCGGATTGCAAGGTTGATATTTGCACAAAAACATTTGGCTTGAACAATAGAGGATAGGAGTCGTGTATTGTTTTCCGATGAATCGCGATTTTATCTTACTGTCTCAGACAGACATCTAAGAGTGTGGCGACGACAAGTTGAAGATATGCGTGTGTTACAGGTTTAAATCGATGAATTATAAATTAATACAATTACCATTGAATAGTTATGTTAAACATAATTAATTAGTTATTATTTAATTACTTAATAGTTAATTACTTACTTCAGAAAAAATCAAAAAGGATACTGTAAGCGATCCCGATGTTTATAAAACAACGATAAGAACATTTGGGAATTGGACCGCCTCGCCTGCGACGCGGGGACATTTCATTAATAATCCTTCGCTCCAATACGTTGAGTCGAGTCAAACAACTATTACTGTATTGCGTTATTTTATTATTATAGTTTTGTTCATCGAATTTCATACGGGGTGTTTCATTTATTTTATATTCCTCACAAGTCAGAAGTGGTATACACTCGCGATTGAACACAGTGCCTTAAAGTTATACTAGTGTTTTGAAATGCCGAAGTCAAAGTGTAAAGGGCGCCGACGCTCACCGTCGACTTCCTCATCATCCTCGTCATCCTTATCAACGTCAAGTATATCATCTTCAAGCGGGGGTGGCAAGTAAGGGCATACAATAAAAAGGTTACAAAAGAAAGTATCTAGTCTACAAGAAATTGTAAGTAGAAAACAAGCTATTTCGTCATGTAGTTTAACAATAACTGAAAGCGTCATACCATCTTTTGACCCAATGGCAAACAATCACAATGCTGCTGATTGGATACGTAAAGTTGAAGATTTGATTAAATGTCATAACTGGAATGAAGTATTAACAATGAAACTTATTACAAATAAATTACGTGGCAATGCAAGACGCTGGTATGATTCTTTACAGAATCCTTGTATCAAGTGAACGGAAATGAAACAATTATTAATTGATAATCTCCCTTCTCAAGTACATTTTGGACGTCTATTAATTCAGGCCGCGAACTATTTCTCAAGTGCCGGCAAAATTTAAGTGACTATTGTTTCGAAAAATGTTCTAAACTTAAAATGTTAAATTTAGCCATTCTTGATAAACATATAATAGATAGTGTAATAGGGGGTATAAACGACCCTAATGTCAGTTTGTCCGCCAGAGCTGCAAATTTTGAAACTGTAGGTGAGCTCTCTAACTATTTAAGTCATGTATCTACAAAATCAGTTAAAAATCTGCCTTCTACAAGTCAAATATATTCACGAACTAGTTCATTTTCCTCATTACAAAATAAAATGAAACAACCTCATTGTTCCTCCAAAATTTCATGTTACAACTGTGGTGACAATCATAGGGTACGAGATTGCACCAAGCCGTTGGTTGAATGCCGAAAATGCAATAAACTAGGGCATAAGACCGAAGAATGTAAATAAGTTATTTTTCGAAAATTTAAGTCAGCAAGTCACCTTGTAAATCAGATTAGTCAATAAATTGAATCTCCCAGAAACATATATCAGTTGAAAGCAATTATAAATAAGCAGATGATAAATTGTCTAATAGATGTATATGTACCTTGCTTAAATTATCTTTTGCCCAGAAACTAAATCTAAATATTATTAATGATAACGTAGGCAAAACTCTCAAAAGTTTTATAGGAAATATTATTGTAAGTAGGCATGAGACTACATCAGCGATAAAAGTCGACTCCGTTACCGCTCTTTTAAATAGCATATTAGACAAATATTTGTCGTACGACCTAATTATTGGAACCGATTTTCTGAACCAACAACACGTTTTACTTACTAAAATAAACAACGAAGTTAAGAAAATTGTCGTCGCCAATACATGATATTAATGTTGTTGATATTTTAGACGACCTGAATGATTATAACCATCTAGAGTCTAGACTATGTAGAAATAAACAACTTACAAAAATCTACTGTACGGAAAGTGTCATTATTAGATTATAAAGATTGTATTTCTTTTTCATTAGCCGATTTAGGAAAAATTAAAGTAATCAAAATACAAATTAAATGTACTTCCAACGATCCCGTTGTTTATAATCCATATAGAATGTCTGTTAGTGAAAAGGAACATTTGAATGCAATTATACAAGGCCTGCTTGAAAACAACATAATTCGCAAGTCATCGTCACCTTACGCTAGTCCTGTTTTGTTGGCTAACTTTATAAAAAATACGTGAAGTTTGTAGTGGTGGATGCGTTTACGAAATTTTGTTTCATTGAACCAGTGAAAAGCACAAAGTCAAAAGAAAGTATTAAAATAATAACCAATATAAAGAATCTTCTTGGTGCGCCGAGAAGATTAATAAGTGATAGAGGAACTGTTTTTACTTCGAAAACATTTAAGTGTTTCTGTCTCAATTATGGAATTAAACATGTAATGCCGTAGCCACCCCCGGAGCTAACGGTCAGTGCGAACGCTATAATAAAACGATTTTAGCTTCGTTGGCCACAACAGCTGCTGAAAATGCTGAAGATAAATGGGATATGTATGTGAAACAAGTTCAATGTGCAATTAATTGTACATACAACAAAGCTACAGGTGTTTTTGCAATGAAGGTCTTTGCAGGTTTTAAGGCTACATATAAAGCAGAGTTAAAAATCTTAAGTGAGGTGCAAAGTAATTTAACTCAAATTGCATAAGTTGAGGAAATAAGTTAAGAAAAATATAGATAGTTCTCAAAAGGCGCAGAAATTGATGTTTAACCGGACTAGAGCTAAAGCAAGAAAGTACAAAGAAAATGATTAGGTAATGGTTTCCAAGACTGACCATTCTTCAACTGGCGAATCAAATAAATTGTTATCAAAGTACAATGGACCATTTCGTATCAAAATGGTATTAGCTAATGATCGGTACTGTGTACAAGATCTCCAAGAAGGAAGAAAAAAAAGTTGAAAAAGGTCATTTCTATTGACAAAATTAAACCTTGGGTAGTTCTGAAAGGTTAAAAGATAAAGTAAAAGTAGTGTTTATTCAAATAATGAATAAAAATTTTTATTAATGATATAAAAAGGCTAGCAAAAGGCTAATATACTACGCAAAGTAAAAAAAGACTAATATAGGGTTAGTATATAAAGACTGGTACAAAGGTAAGCATCCGTGTTTTTATTTTCATAAGGCTGGCAAAAGGCTAGCATATAAGGAATCATAAAGATTAAGTTAAAGGTTAGCACAAGGCTAACGCAAAAGTTTTCTTTGACAAAAAGACTAACACAAGGTTAGTAATGTACAAAGACTAAGAATAAAATTTGGTATTTCTCTCTATCTCTCATTCTCTCAAAACAAAGGCTAGCATAAGGCTAGCACACAATAAGTTGTATAGTTAAAAATTAAAGGTTAGCACAAGGCTAACACTAACATTTTCGTTGTCTATAGCCTAGAGTTTCCCTAAAGACTAGCTCAAGGCTAGGTACCGTTAACTATTTAATAATGTTAAATGTACATTGAATAAGTACAAGAAATTCATTATATGAATAAACACCATCATATTTTTTGAAAAAAAAAAAAAGGATTTTGTAATTGAATTTTAATTTATTTACAGAATTTTAATGTTCGAGGACGACCAGTCTGCAGGATGGCCGACTGTAAGCGATCCCGATGTTTATAAAACAACGATAAGAACATTTGGGAATTGGACCGCCTCGCCTGCGACGCGGGGACATTTCATTAATAATCCTTCGCTCCAATACGTTGAGTCGAGTCAAACAACTATTACTGTATTGCGTTATTTTATTATTATAGTTTTGTTCATCGAATTTCATACGGGGTGTTTCATTTATTTTATATTCCTCACAATACATTTGTATTTTAACTGTTTATTGTTTAAAATAACCTAGTTCAGTGTTTACATTTATTTTGAACTACTTTAATGACCTTTAAACTCTGCTCTTCTTCTTTTATTCTAGAGACATTTTACAACTAGGTATGCCTGTACCTGGCTAAAAGGCCTACTATGGTCAAATATTTTGGCATCACCAATAAACTCCTAGGTCAGGAAATGTGTCTTTCTCACTCACTTCCTTTTTCTTCTTTGTTCTTGGTTGAAATTTGGGCCATGAGGTTTCTGTAACTATCGAACTTTATTCGGATTTGTTCAACCTAAAAACAAATTAAGTTTAAGCTAATATCTAACAAATGAGATATATATAACATTAATCTAAGAGGATTTACCCAGTTGGGGATAATTATACTTATCTTAAAAGGGGCCGCTTCTGATCTCCGGCCATTAAGTGTCGACATTAAGTCTCTTCAATATCTAGCTTTGGTCATCTAGCTTCTAGTATTATTTAGTGCTGCTCGTAGAGCCGATTACTACTTTCACTATAGAGCACCTCCTTAAGTATCTTCTAAAGTACCACTCACGTGCCGTATATATTGGATTGGTGGCTGGAACCCACTTCTTCCTTTACCAGCACTTGACTGCATTATATCATAGCTGTTATAGCTGTAGACGCCGCTAGGAACCGATATCGCCAAGTAAGAGCTTTTCAATTTTATATTCATCCGATTAATAGCAGCCGTATAACCTGCAAGAAAAATAAGAACATTTAATTAAATAGTGACATACATATATATTTAAAACGTGTGAACCTTGGTAGTACTACAAAGGGGGATTTATTACCTATCGGTATTTGTTACATACAATTGGGGTTTCTAATTATCACTATCTACCTAACTACCTACTTATTGTACAAATTAAAGAAAAACACTACTTACTCATTGTTATTATTTGGTCACACTAGCATATCAAGTTTCTCTTTAAGAATCCATGCCACTCTCCGGCTTACAGTTGCATTAAAATAGAATATCTCTAGTATTGAGCTAGCAGCACAGTTCTTGTAAATTTGAATTCTAATTCGCCTTCAGGATCAGAATTTAAAAACGGTAATACGTGTATTGCTGAACGACTTCTGTTTGATGGAGGCTTATAGGAAGGCATATGTTTTGAAGTTCGCATGGAATAAGTCTTTATGCAGAATGAGACTTTGACTATTCATGGGGACCTGACAGAGGTTCTAGAAGATCATGTTGAACCGTTCATGGTTATTCATGTAGAAGTCGCAACTTTAATTCATGTTAATGCACAACTACACACTTCTCACATAGCTTATCTTTACGAGGTTTAAATTACGAAATTTGTTTGGCCTGCTCGAAGTCTGGATTTAAGTTCGATCAAGTATGTTTGACATGAGATGAGGAGACGTTTACCAAGCCATGTGCTGGCTCCCAGAAATTCTAGAATGCTTCGCGACGTACTGGTGCAGGAATGGAACAATCCTACCCGGAATGTGATCAAAAATATCATTCAAAGCATGCCTCGTCATTTGCGAGCTGTTATCATTACCAGAGCAGGGAATACTTGCTATTGAATTCTTAAAAAATTATTTTGTTTAAACTGAAAGTATATCAGATAAAATGTTTCGTTTTTATTCTTTAGATAAGTTGATATCAATAGTATACAAAATCAAATAGAGATTCCTATTAAAAAATGAATACTTTTGAAAAGTATAAAAGTCAAAATCACATCGTTCTTGATGGATTTAAAGAAGCAAAACACCAAAATTTAATGGACTTTATTAGTTATATTTTTAGTAAAATAAAATAATATGTGTACTTGTAACTGCCAACGATATTATTCAATGTTATAGAAGGAGAAAAAAGCATGAAAATAATTTGAAAAAACGCGTGTTGATTGTATAATTCTGCAGACATTGGTTGTGGGTATAAAGACTAGAGAGACGGAGGCGAATCGGCATGGTCAAATTTTACATTTCCGTCCTTCTTTTTATAAAATTCGCCAAATTGACTATAGTTGGCAAGTCTAACGTCAGTGTCATTAATTTTCTATGTAAGTCAATGTGAAAGAAAGTGTATTTTTTTAAAAATTGGTGAAAAGAATCAAAATAATGTGATAAAAAATTCCTGAGTACAAGTAACATGATTTTATAAAGAACAGCATGTCTTAACATAACAGAAGATATGTCAACAATTCGAGAGACGCTAAAATGGTGGTACCCACCTTATCGAGACTGAGGCCCACAAAGGTAAACTGGTAGTGTAAAAAAAACGAAAAATGATTTAACTTGGAATGAAAAACCGAAAGCCGATAGTAGTATTAGGACGTTGAATTTTTTTGGTTTGTGAAGCATTGTCATTACTTAGGTTAAACCATGTGATGATTTTCACAAGCCTTGACTTTTAAAACCATTCTATAACGCCTTTTGATTAGGGTTTATAAACTTATCGAGCAATTTTTCCAATAATAATCGAACCCTTTACCTCTAAAGCCTGCTCATGTAAAACATTTGGGCTCCTTACTTCGCCTATTTATACAGGGTGTTTCACAAAGATTGGTCATAAATTATACCACATATTCTTGGGTCAAAAATAGGTCGATTAAACCGTACTTACCTATATACTAAAGTGCACCCAAAAATAGTTACAGGGTGTATAAGATAAAAATTTAATTGTATTTTTTAACGTTGCTCTTAAACCGTTTGACATTTTTTTCATGAAATTTTATATGACGTGTTGGAATACCATGACTAACAAAATCTAGGTAAAGGCAATACATTTATTTTTATTGTTGTAGGATTTTGGAGGGTGTCACCACCCTTTTCTCTACTCAACTTCTTTGTAATATAAAATTTTTAGTTTAGACGATACAGCATCTTAAAAATATTCAATGTAAATTATACGTATGCAAAAATATCAAAATTTGATTTATAAAATTTTTAGTTTAGACGATACAGCATCTTAAAAATATTCAATGTAAATGCAAAAATATCAAAATTTGATTTTCATTGTTAAAACTATGTAGTAAGTGTATACAGGAGAAGTTTGTAATTTAAAAATAAACTTGATTTTGATATTTTTCACACGTAGAATTTCCATTGAATATTTTTAAGTTGTCATTTTAAAAGGCTGTGTCGTCTAAACTTAATTTTTTACAAACAAATACTAAGAGACAAAAAAGTTTCCAAATGGATGTTGCATGACACGCCACTGGACGTGTCATTTGTAATTAAATTTTATACTACAAAAAAGTTGAGTGGAGAAAAGAGCGGGGACCCCCTCCAAAAACCTATAAAAATCAAGAAAAAAATATTGCCTCTTTCTCGGTATTATTAGTTAGTCATGGTATTCTAATACGTCATATAAAATGTCATGAAAAAATGCCAACCGATTTAAGAGCAACGTTAAAAAAATTCATTGAAATTTTTATCTTTTACTCCCTGTAACTATTTTTAGGTGCACTTTTGTATATAGGTAAGTACGGTTTAATCGACCTATTTTTGACCCAAGAATATGTTATATAATTTATGACCAATCTTTTTGAAACACCCTTTATAATATTAATAAAAGACAGAAGGATGAGCATTGCAACTATGTTCAAAGAAATAAATCGACTTTCAGTTCAGAATTATGTTCAGTACATGACTGATATTTATTTATAAAATAAAAATGACAGTACCATTGCATCAGACCTATTAGAAAAAATTCAATATAATTCGCAATATCACAACTAGGTATAATACAAGCCAATCTGACTTTCATGTACGGCAAGTCATCACTAAAATTTCCCAAAATACAATTTTTATTAAAGGTTTGCAAAAATTTAATAGACTGTCTACAGAAATTAAAAAAGAAACAATAAATGTATTCAAAAGTAACCTCAAACAATAAACTAGATAGGTATATCTATCTAGTTTAGACCCACAGCTCTCAGTTAGAAAATTATCGGAAGCTTCGGGAGTGGCAAAAACAACGTGCCATAAAATATTAAAATTAAATAAAATGCATCCTTATAAAATACAGCTTCATCAAGAGTTGGGCCACGATGTTTTCGATAGAAGAGTCCAATTTTTTGAAACTATGACAGGCATGATTCGGCAAAATAGAAATATTTTGCGAAATATTTGTTTCAGTGACGAAAGTTGCTTTTCCTTAAATGGTTTCGTAAATAGACACAATTTTCGATATTGGAGTGATGTTAATCCCCACGTTTTCCGAGAAGGCCATACGCAACGTCCCCAAAAAATTATGTATGGGCTGGAATTCTAAATAACCAAATAACTGGTCCAATTTTCTATCACGAGAATTTAACTGGGCCTAGATATCTCGAGTTTTTAGAAGAATTAATGCATCCTCTTATCATTCAGAGCTTGGAAGAAAACTTAGATCAAATGCAGGAGGATCAGTTATACTTTCAGCAAGACGGAGCTCCCCCTCATTACTGTTTAGAAGTACGGCAATATTTAAATACCGTTTTTCCAGGACAATGGATAGGTCGTAGGGGTCCTATTGAATGACCAGCTCGCTCCCCAGACTTGACCCCACTGGATTTCTTTTTATGGGGACATTTGAAGTCTGTTGTTTACAGGACACCACCACAATCCATTGATGATTTGCGTAATAAAATCATAGAGGAATGTAGAGATTTAACACCACATGTCTTTGAAAATATTCGGATTGCTTTCGAGAATAGACTGTACTATTGTTTAAATGTAAATGGTGAACATTTTAAACATTTGATTTAACTAAAAAAATAAAAAGAGTCCTTA